GCTCTGCCCGCCCATGCCCCCCCCCCGGGTAACCGCGGTTCCCGCGGGGCTGGGCCGGCATAGCTCAGAGCCTGACAGCGCCGGGCCCCTGATGCCCTGTTTGTCCTCTGGCCCTGGGCGCGCTCTGCCACTGCCCCTAGCGCCAGGAGCAGGTCTCACGGTAGCCCTCTTGCAGGTCTGTGACCTGTCTGTGCTGTGTCTACTCCGCAGACACCGAGGCTAGGTGTGTGGAGGAAAGACTGAATTTCAACTTTTTATAAGCAAAACATGTGGTTGACAATCTACCCACGTGGCTTCCTGTTCATGCACATGTGTTCTGCGATGCCCTTGTCACTCCTTCTTCGTCCCCATTGGCCATCCCCTCCAGAAAGAAATGGAGCACTTGTTGACACCCGTGTGAGTTGGCCTCTTAGTCCCTGCGCTTATCTAACCGCAGTGGTTTCCTTTCCCGGCAGAGAAATGGGTCAGGGGCTTTTTAGGGGCAGCGGATCAGGGCTTAATCTGCACCCTGCCCTCCTCCACTGTGGGCCCTGTGGTCTCCTGCGGAAGCTTAATTCCCTGCCATCTGCCTAGTGTTGCCCGCTGACAGGATGGTTGTTGGGCCCGGGCTGTGCATTTCTGTTTTCAGTGTCCCCCTTCTGGAGTGGCCTTGGCGGCACGAGTGCTCTTGACCCTCCTTCTCTTGCCACTGTTCCTACAGCCCTGAAGGCTTTGTGCAAGCTGTGTCCCCCGGAAGTCAGAGTTAATGTCACAGTGATGGCTATCTTCTGATTAGAAGGATCTAATAAGGCTCTTGCTTTAGGAAACAGTGTTTATCTGCTTCCATGAAAAGTGTTCATCTTGACCGGGGATTTAGCTCAGTGGCACCGTGCCTGCCTCACAAGTTCGATCCCCAGTACCAGAAAGAAAAGAAAAGTGTTCGTCTATGTGTAGCACTTCGTTTAGTTCTCAGTCTTTTATTAACCAAATAGGTAAATATCTAGACTCTGTGCAAGAATTTCATAGTGACCCTTCATCTACTCTTACTATTTCACATCGATTCTTTCTGCATTTGCCTTAGAGCTTGCTAAGGGCTTTAGTCAGTGAACTCCCGCCTGATCCTTTGCCGCTTGGGGTGTGGTCTGGGGTTCTGCCCAAGTTCAGGAGCCAGGTTTTCAGCCTGGTCCTTCCTGGCAGATTGGTCCCCACAGGTGTTTGGGATGCGAGGTGCCATCTAACAGCAGGATCGTAGCACATGTTGGCTTTGACTCGAGGGACACTGCGGCTGTAAGGATAGAGTTGGTATTCAAGAAATGCACCCTCTGCCAGCCCCGGCTTCAGATTCTGAAAACCAAACATCTGTCACTTGAGACCAGAGTGTCTTTAAACACGAGGCAGAGGAAGTGGACTGTCTAGCAGTGGCCTCACGATGGGAACCGGTAGAACTCAAAAGTTAGAAACCACACTTGCTGCTCACAGCCCAGGAAGCAGGCAAGGGTGCTAGGGCTGTGACCTCCAGAGCTTCAGTATGGTCACGTTGACATCTGCTGTGCTCTTGGGTCGCTCAGAATAAACAGCATTTGAGCCTCAATTAGAGCAGTGAAGTTAGGAGGACAAGAAATTGGATGCCTGTGGGAATGTTCCCTACTTTCTTGCTATTTTTTTTGATGCATAACTTTTAAAAATGGCCGAGGTCTCTGTACCATCCTGGCTTTGGAAGGAGAAAGGCAGAAGCTATGTGTGGTTGGGCAGAGAGAGTTCTTTGACTTCTCTTGCCCCACACTGGAGCCAGTTAGCTTTGTGGTGCTGGTGACCCAGTGGCCCTTCCTGTTCATGTGGAACTCTGTGGCATTTAAGAGGCACCGAGGGCCTCTGTCTATTTGCAGAGATGAGGATGTGTGTGTCAGTGTGGCTCAGAGGAAAGACTCAAGGAGAACCTGTGGTTTGTTATGGAACTGTGGCTTTGTGGCTAGTCGTAGGGTCCAAGGGCTGGTCTGGTCACACACACACACACACACACACACACACACACACACACCCACACCCAGGAGCCTGATCATGGACTGTGGCTTTGTGGC